AATAATAATAATAATAATAATAATAATAATAATAATAATAATAATAATAATAATAATAATAATAATAATAATAATAGGTGTTATAAATGAAAAATGCAAAAATGTTCTAATGAATCTTTACACCATTTAGAGCTTTGTCGAGAATATGAACTACCAGCGTGGGGAACTAGAGCAGAACTCGAAGATCGTATTCGGTAATTATTTATTTCTCTATATTTGTATTTCCTATTATTGTTAACAATTTATTATCTATATAGAGATCGAGAAAAAACGACAACGAAAAACAGAATATTTGATTATGTTGTAAAGAGATGTAAACCCAAAACTGTTTTGCCATCACCAATCTTGACTTCACCATCCACATCAACAACACCACCACCATTGTCATCGGCACCCCCAACAAAATCCTTGTGTTTGTCGCAGGCAAAAAATCTTGAATACGACTTAGAATCTGTCGAGAAATCTGTTGCAGAAACTCTGTGTATTATGGAAGCTGCAAAGTAAATGTTCTTAATCTAAATTCGAATGTGTGCTTGTCATCGTATTTATATATCCAAATATCTTTGTTTATTTAGAACACTTATTAATATGAATGCTTATGTGGAAGTGTTCAAATAGGTACGAAAGAATTTTTTATATCAATTAATTTTTAAATTTCTGTCTGGAGTTTTTTAAATCCGATTTCACCTCTGGTTTTTATGATTTAGTGCTCAAATTGAACCGAGCAATCTTATTTCATATCAAAAATCGGTAAACTCGTTCGTTGTTATATATTAATTATTAGGTTTAGACATTTATATCTAAAAACTATTCAACATATTTATTAGAATTTAAAAATCTCTATATTCTAAATGCGCGTATTTGCTTTGCAATGACGTGAATAAAATACTCAAGAATTTGTTGTTGAACAAAAATAACTACGAAATGAAAAATCAGCATTACTAATAAACACATGTTTAAAATTTGTTGAGCTCAGCTAAACTACGTAACTGAGAAATCTATTATTCCGAGTTTCTTATTCTTACATGCATACGATAAATGGACCTAATGGGGAATTCAAAAAACCTTATCCTTAATCAGTATAAAGAGGCTTATTTCTCATATGGCTACAATTTATTATCATCTCTTTAGCATTCGGAATATTTTTAACTTAAAACAAGTTGCACCAGTTGTCACTGATGTCATTATCCGGTGAATCAAATAATAACGATAAGTTATAATAAGTCAGTCGATCAACTTCGCGTAACATATAAATTCTACTCGAAATCGATTCAATCTCCTCTCTTAAGTCACGACACAACTTCCAACATCGTAACAAGATCTGAAAACTTTTATTACAATCATCCTGCATAAAAATATTTCGAAAAAGACTGTTTACTTGAACCTCTTGCATAACCAAGTCATCGATAGAATTCTCGTCAGGATTGTCTGCCATCCATGCAAACGCTCGTATTTGATGTTGTAGTTCCAGAATTGGGATCACGAGCTCGCGGAGGTACTCAAAAAATTGTGGTGGCGTAAAGGTATCAAAGTCTCGAGAGAATTCTTGAAATTTTTGTTGTTCGGCTATTATTTCCTCTTCTTCGAAGTCGTAATCCGAGTCGTCGCTGTCTGATGAGATACTGTTTGTTCGATTCTCGCGGGTGTTTTTAATTGGTGTAGCTTGATTTGTATTCTTTGGTGACATGATAACTTGTGTATTGTGTTAAAATTTAAAATTAAATCAATTAATTTGAATTATTCTATTATTATACGTCTATATTTTTTATGTGAGAACTTTTCAGTACTGCATATTGCCAATTCTCAAAAACACATGTCCTCTTTATATATGTAAATCTTATTTTTAAATAAAAACTCCTACTTCATAGATTTTGATTCTCTCTCGGCTATTTTTTTAATTATTCATCAATTGTGCTATTATTTAAACTGATGCAATCACACTCCTTTTCAACATCACACAGATGCACGTATATATTGTTACTGTTGATAACATTCTTGATTATTCTTTATTCTTTGGAATTAAGTAAATAACTTTGACCATTGAACTTTTGTCTCTCATTGTTTTACGCTTGTGATGAGAGAATTTATGACTTTACATGAAATGATAAGTCAAACTTGGATTACCAAATGTACTTAGCTTTAGCACAATAAAAAATCTGGCATCATTAATATTTTTTGACAATAAAATATATATTTTATGTGCTGCTATATAAAAGTTTAAATTGCTAATAATAGGTTAATCTATTACATGTTCTTATTTTCAAATAGCTGCTGCTTTTCAACTATTTGCAAGCTTTAAACCCCAACAGAACTCTAAATAAAAAATTTCCTGAATCTGAAAATATTTACCAACACAGAAGTGATAAAGACGCATATATGTACATTGAATGACTTTGAAATTGCAAGAATAGAAATGTTTCGTCCTACCTTTCACCTGATATTCAGACGACAATAACTGATATTAATGAATAAAAAAAGCCTTAGACCAACTTCTCAAAAACTACAATCACAAGTGAACGGTTTGTTCCGAAAATTATTCTGTAATCTTTTTCTTGAATGTTGTCAATGTTTTGTGTATTTTTTTCTTTAAAAATAATGAACTTGTTTTAGTTAGCCCAAAATATGATGCATAGATGCGATTTCTCTTAAGAAACCAAATTTTCTCCAAGAAAACACTTTAACACGTGTACGTCGATTACTGCCACCAAAAAATGATACGTACATGTTGTTCCAAGTTAATCAAGCATTTATTAACAATTACGTATTAAATTAATACATGTAGCAATATCCAATCATTATCACTTATTCAATATACATGTATAAGATGCGGGTATGCAGGTGATTTGTTTAACGATTTTCGAAATTGATGAGTTAGGGACTAGACTTGCAACAATGCAAAATTTTTATCATGGTTGGGCCTAAACGCGTAAAAGAGCATAAAAGAACGAGAAATTTAGATGACAAAAAAAAACAGAAAATACACGTCAAACAAAATCTTTACTTATAAAATTGACAATGAGGCCCGACCAAACCTACGAAATCTACACAGAATCCGAATCCGAAGAATTTGACAATGACTACGTGGAAGGTGACTCTCTATTTGATAGTTGCAGTGAAGTTGACGATAACGATTACGATCCAGAAGCCGAACAAAGATTCTACGAAGAAGAAACGTACCAAGAATTCTGCGGCGACTTTGAAAGAGAAAACATGCCGCCTGAATTTTTCCAAGCTTTACGAGAACGAGTTAGTCCGATTCTCGAATTGAAAAATCAATTACGAATTTTGACATATAGAATTGACAATAACGAACGGTATACTAACAGTGAACTTTTAGAACAAGAGTCAACGATGCATCGCAGTTTTGAAGTCGCGTTTCCCGGTGATATTGATGATCACCCAGATAAAGAGTGGAGAATATTTCGTAATTGTTTGGATGATGCGAGGTTGGCTGTTGAAGATTTGTGTTCGTTGCTCAATTATGGTCAGTTGTGTTTGCATTCGCATTGGCCTCATTATACTCCTTCCGAACAGGAGGACGAAGAGAGTGAAGACGAAGAATAGTGAGTGAAGATTACGTTGGTTTTTTAATTGATATCATTTAATTATAGTTTTATATTTTTAACTCTATATTAGTATGAATTTACTTATGATTTAATTAATAGACTTTATAATACTTATGTATTCTCACATTATAAGAACTAAGCTTTGTTTCTTCTATTATCAGAGTCTATCGAAATATAATAATATATTTGTCTACATAGTTGTAATAAAAATTTATCTTTTAATGATGCTTAGAAAACATTATTATTGCTATATACAGCGACGCTCAAAAGTTTTGCATCACTGAAATAAAAGTCAATTTTTAGTAATATAAATGCCACAGACATATGAAATTCAGCATATACATAGAGTTAAAGCCTAAATAAACGGCTCACATAATTTAAATAATAAATATAACACCACTTGATTTATTTGGTCTTTAGTTACGTCAAACCAGCGATGCATTTCTTTTGATCATTTCTCGCTCGAAAATAAAGTATCAGTATATAAGCACATAAAAAAAAACACAACAAAACAATACACACACTTATATATAAAATATACCTAAGAATATACTTTTTCATCCCATACTATTATCATGGCACATATCCCCATCAAAAAAAAGAGCCAAATTTATTGTTACCGGGTTAAGAGAAATTTCGTTAATCTCCCAATTTTGATAAAACCCGCCCGGCCCAATTTCGTTAGTTTACTTTTCGCTTTAAAATTCTATTTTAATTTCGCTTTTGTTTTTCTATCTTAATTTCGTTTTTGATCTTACTTTTGATTTCGCTTTTGATCTTGCTCTTGTTTTCTATTTCTTTTTCAATCTTAAATTCTCTCTTAAATAATAGAGTGTATTATGGAACAAGTTCCGAAACAATACTTAATAATGTAATCAAAAAGATGTATAAATAGACTTCGAAGACGTTAATAAAGACAGAGAATTAAATCGTGTACAATTCTTCTCCAAGGAAAATTAGACTTGTAAAATTGTTGTAATTGATTGTGGGTAGGTCCTTTAGTCCAGACAAGACGTTGATATTGTTAAATGGCATATTGATTGATTGAAAAAGTGCTTTATGATTGAATAGTTTAAGGCTTTTAGCTAGATTAGAAGTTAATAAAAAGAATATTGTCAATAAACTGTCATATAAACATAAAATCCAAGACTATTTATTTCACCTAAAACTGATCCATCTAAACTCTCCTTTCTACCATTATACTGAAACAATATCTGTAAATATTAGCATAGGAATTAGAAATGAATGAACATCACTCAGTCTAATCACTTTTTCAACTCATTGTTACAGATAAAATTATCAATTATGCCTAATCACGATCCACCTGTGATATTCTTAGTATTCTCTATGGAATTCAAATTTATAGCATTGCAGACTATTATTTTCTTGACCATATGTTATCTCAACAAATCACTTATAGAAAGGAATTAACATAGAAACCAGTAGTAAAGACAGCTACAAGTGAATTGTATTTCATAATAAAAGCTCTGAAATAAATAAAATTGGAAATCAAAGATTAGAATATGAAGAAAATAACAAAATGGCAGAATATATAAATGAACTTGTCCAAGTTTTGGTCAAACTTACTAATAATATGAATGCTGAATTGGTCTGATAATTCAAAAAGATTCTTATTCCAATTAAGAAGTTTTGAAGTGAAAAAAGTCAATGGCTCTAGAAATTCAAAATTGCTATCTAAGCTAATAGAATTACTAACAAAAGCAAAATTCAAATTATAAGAAATATCTTAAAGAAACTCTTATTATCTGGTTCAATCAAAAAAATATTAATAACAATCTTTGGTTAAATAATTAAATAAATCAACAAATTAATATAAATTCAAGTATTGATTTATTTTAAAGTTTCAAATAAATAAAAAGATAAAGAAATAACAAGAGAAATTGAAAATTTTAAAGAAAAATAGAATTATAAAAAAATATACTAATTAGTTCATTAAATTTATAAAGAAAATTAGCTCTAATAATTATTGTCTGACAAATTACAAGATATATATTTATAATATAGAACTCAAATCAAATATTAAAAAGTGAATTTATATAAATGTGAACAGAATGTGAAATAATATTATTAAAGTAACAAAAAAAAGATTTTTCATTAAATTCAGACAATGTTCATTATTAATTTTAGTATTTTAAATCAAATTTTACAAAGTTTAATCAATAAGTTAAAACAAATAAAAATTATTAGAAAAATAAATTACTCATCAAAAACATATAATTAAAGTCATAATTAATAAAATTATATAAGTTAAATAACTTATTACTAATATAATCTAATTATATATAATAATACTATATATATATCTCTTAATTATTGAATGAATAATTAATTAAACTAATAACTTAAGTATAATCTTTGAAAGTAATAATTTCTTTATATTAAATAAAATAATTCCAAGTTTAGTTTTAATAATAAATAATAATAATTTATTCAATATTAATATATTATTTTTACAGATTCAAGTATTATGATTACTTTATAGATATTTCAAGTATTTCAAACTAATATTTTAATATAATAATATTATAATTCTTAACAATATATAATTATATATAATGTATGATAATAATTTTTCATCAAATAAACAAATTCAATACCAAAAATATTCTGATGAATTACTATAATAATAAAATATAACTTTATAATAAGTTATTAATCTAAATAAATAAATCAAAATATTAATACTTTATCTTAAATAAACTCTGTTAATCATTAATATCTAAAATAACTAACATTATTAAAAATAAACTTAACAATATATTACAACTTATTTTGATTATATAAGATGAACTATTAACTAATAAAAAGAAACTATTTATTCACTTCAAGTATTAAAAGAAACTAAAATAAAAATAGTAATAAAAGAAATACATGAAGACTCTTTATCTGAATAATTTGAATATAATAGAATTCATTAATAAATTATTATATAATATTAATAGAATAGAATGGAAATTAATATAGAAGGTTTTATAAAATCTTGCTTTACCTATTAATTTATTAGAAGTTAATAATTTAAAGAAGCTTTTTATTCAATCAAAATTGGATAAACTTTTAATTATATTATAATAGATTTTATTGAATCTTATAAATTAACTCAACAAAAAATTAATATATTATAATTATTATAGATTATTTAACAAAATGATCTAAAATAAAGTAATATCTAACAAAAAAGCTACAACTATTACTAAATTTATATTTGAAAAAATTATTTATTGATATAGATATTTAAAAATATTATAAGCAGATCAAAAAATAGAATTTATAGTACAAATAATAAAAGAACTTTCTAATAATTTGAAATATAATACAAATATTTATCACTATATTATCTGCAAATAAATAAAATTATAGAGCAATTTAATAAAATATTATTAACAATATTACAAAAACTTATTATTGTTTTAGATACAAAATGAGATAATAATATCTTAGTTGCATTATTAGCTTATAGAACTTTACAAATTAATACTATATAATACAAATTTTTCTTTCTAATATATAAAAAATAAGTATAATTATTAATAGAATTGAAGTTTGAAACAATACTCAAAAAAAAGTTAAAATAAAAGAATAATTATTAAATAAATATTTACTTTAATTAATTATTTACTGAATAAGTCAATAATATCAAGAAAAATATTAACTTTTCTCAAAAAAACTAAAAAAAATATAACAATTTGAAATTGAAAACAAAAGTTCTAATTTACAATATGAAAAAATATGTTGAATATAGAAACAAGTTTAAATTTAAATAAAAAATAATACTATATATATAAAAACAATTAGAATAGAATATATAAATTGTAAAATTAATAAGAATAATTACTCAAAAAGTCATTTAATAGTACACAATTAAAAATATTCTATAAGTGATCAACTTTATTTGAACTAGAAGTAGTAATAGAATATATAGATTTCTTATCAATATCTTTATCATAATTTTAGTATTATAATACTTTTCTTTTTGAAAAAATACTATAAATATACATCTTATTCTATTTCTTTTCCAAAAATTATCCTAATACATTTTCTTTAATTTGTATTATTTTTATCTCTCTATTTTTTTTTGCTTTTATTTTTATACTTATAATAATCTTATTTAAATGGATTTTATCATACTTAAAAGAATATTTCATTAAAATATTAGTAAATTTATTCTTATATCAACTAAATAAAATAATCTTTTTATTAATTCATGAAGTCATAATCAAAAATGATAATAAATAATAATATTATGTTATAACTCAGAAACTTAATTAATATTTTAAATTTCTTAATAATTTTCTTTTTAATAATATAATTATTTTTAACTTATAATTATTAATATTATTCTCTAAAGTATTTAATTATTCAGAATTTTTCAAAGACTTTAATAAATTAATAATTCATGAAAAAATTATAATTTTTCTGAATTAATCATTGAAATAACAGAAATAACAAAATTGGCTAAATTTATAAACTTAATATTAATAACAATTCAAGAAATTAGTAGATAATAAATAATAAAAACAAATAAAAAAAGATAAAAAAGATTTATAACAAAAAAATAATATAGAAACAGAGTTAATTCTATATTTTGAATTTGGAAAGTTATTTTATAACTGACTACTGAAATATAAAAAGCAACTTTAAAAGTTCAAATACATAATATATAAAAAATTAGAAGAAATTTTTGTAAATAATCTTATATTATTGCAACAAAAATATTTGGAACAGTAAAAAATATTATGAATTTTACTATTAAATAACTTTAATGAATATATATCAATTAACTTATAAAAAAGTTAAAGAATATTAAGAATAATTTTGAATTTCACAGAGCAAAATTTTTAAAGAAGAATCAAATATTATAGTAATAATATTGTTATTATTTTAATAGAACTTTGAAATACTCAAGAGTATTATGATATTCAAAGAGAAAACTCGAATGTCTTAATGATAATTTACAGTCTTAATAATACTTTATAACTT